ACCCGGGGGCCTTCTCCCAAGAAGGGACCGATCGGCATCGAACCGAGGCGGCCGACGTCGCCGTCGAACTGGATCGATCGGATCGAGGTGGGCCCCGCCCACGGCGGCGCGCGCGGGCGGGCCGCGTCGCACGGGAACTGGTCCTGAGGGTCGCTTCGAACGGCGGAATCGACTGCTCTAGCTGAAGCAGTCGAGGCTGTGAGGAAACTGTGCCTGGGCCTCGAGAAAGAAAGGAAAGCGGGTTCTGGAACCCGGGGGCCTTCTCCCAAGAAGGGACCTCCATCCCGAGCCGTTGTCTGACACTCCCGGGGCCCGTGGAGGGCCCCGAGAGCCCGGCAACGGCGCAAAACCTCTCAGGACCCACGTGCATGAGCACGGTCCCATAATGCGCGGGACCAGCCGCGTGACACGATTGTTCGTGCAACGCGTACTAACCAACGCGGATTCATGTACGTGTAGGTCCTTCTTTCGCTTTTGTGACCTTTGTTGCGCAGCTTTGGGGGGGCCACGGGGAGACCAACACACACGCAAGACGCTACTACCGCATCGCGTTCGGCGAGCGGGGGACCCCAGTGGGCACGCACCAGAGGTCACTCCAGCGAGAGATCACGCTTACGTCTCTAATCGACTCCCCCACGGCAGGAACCCAGACCCCGGACGTCATGATTTTTCCCAACCCTCCTTGGTTGGGTATACGTTTTGAATAGAGCACTGCGGTCGCTTCCTTCTCCTCCTCCCGCCTCACGCCTCCCGCCTCCTGCCTTCCGCCTCCCGCACCCCCCTTCTCGTCTCCTCTTGCCTTGCCTGGGAGGCTGCGATCTGCGAGACTGTCGCCACTTTCGAGGGCTCCTGGTGGGTCCAGCGGAGTAGGCACCGCGCGGACCTGAGCGAGACCTCCCAATCCTTGGGGGACTGCAATCTGCGAAACTGCCGCCACTTTAAGGGCCGGTGGTGGGTCCAGCGGGGTGAGGCACCGCGCAGACCTGAGCCAGACCTCCCCGTCCCTGGGGGACTGCGATCTGCGAAATTGTCACCATTTTCGCGGGCCGGTGGTGGGTCCAGCGGAATGAAGCACCGCGCGGACCTGAGCAAGACCTCTCCGTCCCTGGGAGGCTGCGATCTGCGAGACTGCCGCTGCCACTTTCGAGGGCTGACGGTGGGTCCAGCGGGTGAGGCACCGCGCGGACCTGATCGAGACCTCCCCATGCCTGGGAGGCTGCGATTTGCGAAACTGCCACCGCTTTCGAGGGCTGCTGGTGGGTCCAGCGGAGTGAAGCACCGCGCGGACCTGAGCGAAACCTCCCCGTGCCTGGGAGGCTGCGATCTGCGAAATTTTCGCCGCCTTCGAAGGCTGCTGGTGGGTCCAGCGGAGTGAAGCACCGCGCGGCCCTGAGCGAGACCTCCCCGTCCCTGGGGGACTGCGGTTTGCGAGACTGTCGCCACTTTCGAGGGCTCCTGGTGGGCTAGCGGAGTGAGGCACCCCGCGGACCTGAGCGAGACCTCCCCCCGCCCGTGAGGGGCTGCGATCTGCGAAACTGTCGCGAGTTTCGAGACCCCCCCCGTCCCGGGGAGGCTGCGATCTGCAAAACGGTCGCCGCTTTCGAGGGCTGCGGGCGGGTCCAGCGGAGCGAGGCACCGCGCGGACCTGAGCGAGACCTCCGTCCCTGGGGGGCTCCGATCTGCGAAACTGTCGCCGCTTTCGAAGGCTGCTGGTGGGTCCTGCGGAGTGAGGCACCGCGCAGACCTGAACGCGAACTCGCCGCCCCTAGGGGCCATGCCATGTTGTTGCTGCTCCGCCGACGTTTCCAGCCCCTTGCCCACCGTTTCCTTTTGGAACTTGCGTTTTCCTTAGTGACTCAGGGGTTCACTCAATTACTCTGTTTGTTTCTCCTTGATTGGGGACCTGCGGACCTTCCGATGTTTGGCATCAACATGATAGTGGACGCCACTTAATCGGATCCCGACAAAAAAAAACCGTCGGATCCGATCTCCTCCTCCGCAAAACAAACAGCCTCCGCCGGTCCCAGACGCCTGAATCGCAGGCGCGCTCACAGAGGCGGAGGAGGAACAATGGGGCAGCGGGGCCAGGGGCCTGACGTGCACAGGATGCACCAGCCACGTTGGGGGCTGAGGCGGCCGCCCCAGAAAAGCCCGCCTCACGAGAGGACGAGCCAACTCGCGCACAGAATGCGCCTGAAAGGTGGCCCGAAGGGTCATCAGAGACAGGGGCCAACGTGGTCACCTCCTCACCTTCGAACTCCACGTCGAGGGGGGAGGCGGCCGCTGCCACGCGCACTGGCGCACCAGGAAGTGAGCCAGGTGCGTTCCCAGAGGGAGCGCGAACAGATGGAGCGCCACCTCCACCGCCAGACCCCCCAACACCCGATTCAACAACGACAGACCCTCTACCCTGAACTTGGAGCGGAAGGGCCGTCGAGCAAAACATAAACGCTGCATCTACACCCGCGAGCTCTCCCTCGGGCGGAGCAGCAGCAGGGGGTGGCTGAAGGCTGGCGGCAGGAAACTCACAGGCAAAATCACCCCTGCCACTGGCCCTCGAAGACTCCCCCCACCGACGACAGACTTCTCAACGACGACATTCCTCCCACCATCACCTCGGTGCACAGGGCTGCCGAACAAAAAATTAGCAGCTGCCTCTTCTTCCTCGAGCTCTTCGTCGAGAGAAGCAGAGACAGCGGGCGGCTGAAGGCTGGCAACAGGAGGCTCAGAGACAAAATCGCCACTGCCAGAATCGATCGAAAACGTCCCACCACCAACGGCAGACTCCACGACGACCTCAGGCCCCCGAACCTCCATACTAGGCGCTGGCGCTGTAGACAACACCGGCCATGGCCCTTGCTCTACATCATGACAGGATGGCGCCCTTTGCAGATCGGGCTCCAATTGCCGTAGCGAGTGGCCCCATGAGAGAGGAATGGCAACAGCACACAAGGCAGACAACAAGCTCGGCATTGTCAGAGCACTGTAACGCGATGCAACGGTGCCCTTTTCCTGCCAAAGCGACACGTGAAAGAGAGGCAGACGGACTGCAGGCAGGAGCTGCAGGTGGGATGTCATGCGCGGAGAAACAGTTTAACCTTTCCACACTGCGAGCCCGTCCAAAAACCTGGTACCGAACCAAGCGAGGAAAGCTGGATAGCCTGCCGCTGACATCTAAGGCGGCTCCCCTGCCTCTCGCGAGGTGGCTTCACGAACGCAGCTCCTTCCAAATCTGGGAACGGCCACACAAGAATAAGCTTAGCTCCCAGAAGAGCGACTGCGCATGCGAGTTTGTTATCAAAACTCAGGTGCGTGCATACTTCAGGAAAGGGGGTTGGGTGCCCAAGGAAGCCCTCGCCAGCGGACCCCCTCTTAGCTCTTAAATATACAAAATGGTTTCCGAAGCGGCACATCATATCATGCTGGTCGTCCCATTCGTCTAAAGAAAGGTGGGCTTTGACCTTACACAGTTGCCTGACCTGATGTTTGGCATGCAGCATCGAGAGAGCAAATCCCGAAGAGCAACGATTGAGCGAGAGCTGCTCGACCCTAGAAAGAGAAATATGGTCCTTAACCAGCTGGGCATCCGCGTAAACATCCGAGGGTTCGCTAGCGAAGAGAACAGCCTGACAGAAGGCAGCAAACTCTCCTGCAGGAGCTGTCTGAGGGTACTACGGAGGGACAGGGCCACACATTGTAATTAGCCTGAAACTCACCCTTCAACACAGGTGAAACACCAACCTGCTCTGCTGAACTCACGAAAAACATGCGTGGATGCGCTGCCATCCGTGAAGATGCCACGGCAGAACATAAACTGATTGAAATCCTGGGGGAGATCGCCCCGAGCCCGACAAGTGGCTGTCGCCTCAGCCGCAGGCTTTGGGTAGTCCCCAGGGTGCGCAAAAACTCCAAAACGAGAAAGGACCTGGTCGGGTTCGGCTAAACCCCGATTGATAGTTTCCTGACCAGTTAAACTCAAACGAAGCTCGGCAACCTCGGGACACTGGCAAACACAAAGGCGATGGTGGATCGTGTCAGGGGCAGGACCACACTTAGGGCAGGCGGAATCTAGGGAGTAGCCCTTTTCCTTGGCTCGATGACGTGTCCAGATAGCGTTAGTAGCTGGGGCTCTGATGCATCCTTGGTCCAGGGCCGAGAATCGGGTCGGGCGAAAGGGGGGGATAGCAAAGGGGGGGTTTGAGAATCAGCTCACGTAGCTGATTTTCCCGGCGCCTCCCGGCGCCGGAGGCGGCTATGTATCGAGGAATGGGCCCCTCGGTGAGGCCGAAACCAGCTGCATGCAGCAAATTTCGTAACCCCCCCTTTCCCAATCCCCCCCTTTCGCCCGGCCCGAGAGAAGCGACGACTGCGAATCGCTTTCTCAATAGTCTCGAAGCACAGACGATGCTGAACACCCCATTTGCTACCAGCATCCTATTCCAGAACCCGAAGAACAGCCTGATTCAGGTGGCGTTTCATGAGCTGGGGGGAGATGAGGGTGATGGAACGCTCGATGCCCTGGTCCGTAACGAAAGTAGAAAAGTCCCTCTCCTGCGAACCTTCCGAATGCCGCTCGCAGAAGTATATGCGTCCATCTCACGTCGCCGCCATTTCGTCAAATCTCCCAAGCTACTCTTGCCCCGAATTGCGAAGGGGCTGGGTACGTCGCCGGGGTAATTTCATGACGTGACCCCCACGAGGTTTTAACCTCTTCCTGGGGACCGGCCCTTCATCCCGAACTGTTTTTTGACGGTCCAGAGGCCCAGGAAGGGCCCACGGAACACCTCCCGTCGTGATTCTTTGACAGCGCGAGGGAGGGGTCTGGCATCGGGGAGGAGGAAGAAGAGGAGGAGGAGGCGGAGGAAAACGAGGAGGACGAGGAGGACGAGGAGGAGGAGGAGGAGGAGGTGGAGGAGGAGGAGCAGGAGGAGGAGGAAGAATTCTGGGAAGTGGGCCCCGCCCCGGCGGCGCGCGTCTGGCGGGCCGTCCCGCGCCCCGTCCTCGGAGACGGGCCCGCTGCCGCAGTGGCGCAGCAGCTCCTCCGCCGCGCGGCCCAGCAGCTCCTCCGAGGGGCGCGGCCGCGCGCGGGCGCGCGCGGGCTTGCCGGGTGACCCCGCGCCCTGCGCTCGCCGGGCGGCGATGAGGAGGAGGAGGACGAGGCGGCGGCGGCGACGGAGGAAGAGGAGGAGGCGAAGGAGGAGGAGGAGGAGGAGGAGGCGGCGGAGGAGGGGGAGGCGGAGGGGGGATGCCCGCGCCCTCGGCCGCGAATAGGCCCGAAGGCCCAGGGGCCCCTCTGGGACCTGAGGTGGCCATTGTTTCAGCGTCGTGACCGTGCGGGATGCTTTCTTCTTCCTCGCTTCTCGTCTCCTCATGCCACGAGCGGCAAACATGTCCATGTCCGCGCCCTCGCAGTCTGGATTTCGCGGCGCGATCCAGTGGATACGCGGTCGCCAGGATACGTTCCGCGCGTACGCACGGGGTCTCGGCCCCGGGGGCCAGCCTTAAGTCGGGCGTGTCCCCCTGCAGGTGGATTTTGAACGGAAAATAAAACATATCCCCAAAATACCCCAAACTAATCAACACATAGTCCACAAATAGTCAGGGGACTATTTCTTTAGTATGTTTTGACCTTTTTGGGGTATGTTTGGGGTATTTTTCATTGTTCGTCGAAAATCCCCCTGTGAGGGAACAGGCCCGACTTCAGGCCAGCCCACGATGCGCCCTGCCTGCGCCCTGCCCAGAGCCAGAGGGCGCCGACTGCAGACCCAACCCTGAGACCCTCGACTGCACGCCAGGGTGACCCCTGGGCAGGAGGGACCTCTGGCACAACGGCGATTGTCGCTTGACTTGTTCGGAGCCAAGCGGCCCTCAAGACGGGCCAAGAGGGCCCAAGTCTGCCTAGGAGCCAGTGGAAAAGGGAGCGCCGCGGTGACCTCTGGTGCGCGGCTGCTGGGTGGCCGCAGGGGTCCAAACGCAGGCGCCCAAGGCGCGAAGTATTGCCGCACCGCGTTCGGCGATCGGGGGACCCGTTGGGCACGCACCCAAAGGTCACTCCGGCGAAGGGTCACTCTTGTGTGTAGCCGAGATCCGGGCGGTGCCAGTCCTGCACACCGGGTGTGTTCTCCTGGGGCCATCACAGATCGATCTGGCTCGAAAGATTCAGCAGAAAGATTGCATCTAGGGCTCCAGTCGTGATTTCTGACGATTTGCAATTTTGCATTGGGCATTTCTGCGATTTCTGACGATTTCTGACGATTTCGGGCGGGATTGGCATTTGGGGGGGGGGGGGGGGAAACCTCGATCTGGAATCGGCGATCATTTCATCGCCGATAGATCGGCGATCGGCCCCCGATAGCGAGTCCGAACGGTCCTGCGCGGGGTGGGGCCTATCAGACCCCCACTGGCGATCAAGTGGCGATTGGCGCTCGAGGCATCCCCCCCGTGAGCTGCATGCCCATCTTTTCACGCATTTTCCTGGGAATCGACGATGGATTGTGTCTGTGTGTTTTCCCCCCCTCCTGAGTGACCTGCAGCGGGGGTGGTTTGCAGCTCACCTCGGCAGAGGACTCTGCCGCGCCCTGCCGGCAGGCTCAGCAGGAGGGCGGGCGAGGACCTCGGCAGAGGTCTCTGCCGCGCCCTGCCGGAGGCTCAGCAAACCGTTGGCGCAACGCGGTGGCCCCGAAACCCCGACGGCGCCAATCGCAAGCCACACCCTGCCGTCGGCCCGGCTCAGTAGGTCGACCCTGCCAGCTCAAGGGTACCCTTGTGTCCCGTGCCTCGCGACGCGTGCCTTCTTGCACTCCTATGGCGACGTGGCCCTTGGAAGGGTCTCGTGTCCTCTCACACCCCTTCAGCAATACACCCACCCCTGAGATGCGGGAGCTGCAAGTCCTGCGCGCTGGGCGTTCTCGCAGAGTGTCGCGCCCCGCGGCCATCACAGATCGACCTGTCTGGAAAAATGCCACAGAAAGATGCAATCTGGGACTCCAGTCGTGATTTTTCTCGACGTCGCCTTTTTTCCAACGTCGGATCTCTGGGACACGATCATCCTGGCCAGTCCTGGATCCAGGCCCAGTGTGTGCGCACCCAGGGCCTGGCCATGAGGGCATGTGCATCTTGGCCAGGAGCGCATCTGCACCGATCCTTGGCCCATGATGATGGGCCCGTCGACAGCGAGACGGCACCCGCTGCCATGCATACCATCGTAGACCTATGAAACAAAAAAAGTTTGGGGGATGATAACTCGCGCAGTGAAACGACAACTCGACGGAAGGTTCTGACAGTTGAGCGACGATCGAAAACGGGCCTCTCGCGAGATGACGTGACGACCTTACGGGGTGGCTTACGCGGGCCGCCAGCGCGGCACGCTACGCTGGAGACGAGGGCGCTTACGCGCGAGCTTACGCGGGCAGCTTGCGCGCCAGTGTCGGTGGAGAAGACCAAGTCTTTGTTGCGTCGCTCATGTGGAGGATGCTACCTCGCGCAGTGAAAACGAAAACTCGAGGGAACGTTCTGACACTTGTGGACTTGTCGACCTCGCGGGGGCCCCCACCAGGCCCAAGGACCGCCAAAGAAGCGACTCGGGATGGGGCGCCGGCCCCGAGGAAGAAGGTCGAGAGCTCTTTGGGGGAGGGCCACGCTGTGATCGGGGAGACGTAAGACTCGTGTTGAGATCAAAGCACGGCGTCGGAGGTCTGGGTGCGACAGGCGCGCAGCGCCCTGCGCACGCTTGCGGGCCATCTCGGGGGAAGGCCTCCAGGGCGCCACGGTGGAGACCACTGGGGACCACCGCGGAGACCTCTGAGGTCACCCGCCCGCGCGCCTCGACCTGCGCCGCGGGCGCGCGGCTACGGTGAGCTTCCTCCTTTCCTCCCCGGCTCTCCTGCTGCCTCCTCATTCCTGTTATCTGCGAGACACCTCGCGTTCAGCTGTCGTTCTGTGTGCCACGCGGTTTACGTATGCTTTCATTTTGAACGAATGCCTGACGAATCCGATCATGCGCGGGCCCCGCTTTACGGCCAGCAATTACAAAGGTACCACTGCTTGAATCTCACATCATTATTGCAGTGTTTGTGAATGCTGATGACGGCGGGCTGAACATAATATTGATGATGTGCACGTCTTGCCTCTGCCACAGGCCACCAGCCGATTTGAACCATCTCGAGTCAACGCAGAGCTGCCCGTGGCGACTTGCCGCGCAGTAAAGCTACTTCCTGCGTTGTGCTTCTGCTCCTCTAAAAATACCCATCCAACTTCTCACCTCCCGCTCTCAGACGGAGCCAGCACGAGGATGAAGTCGGGAGAGGCTAAATAGAGAGTCTCTGAGTTCGGGCGGCTCTGGAGGATATCTTGGGCACCGCGGCCATCTCAGAGCGGTCGGGAACGCTCCGAGAGCGTTCTGGACTCCGCGCTCCGCGCTGCGCGAAGCACTTCGCGCTCTCGCGCCGCTAGCCAGGGGAGAAGAGACACAGACATGCGACGTCCTGATTTTTTCAGGACGGCGCCCCTGGAAATCTAGACCCTTTCCCTGAGGCCGGTTTTTCGTCCTGAGTCGTTTTTTGGCGGTCCCGAGGCCCGGCGAGGGCCCCCAGGGGCCGAAAATAGCGAAAAACCTCCCGTCCTGATTTTTTTACGACGCCATCATGTCTGGGGAGGGATGAGGAGGGCTCGGAGCCGAAGCGCGAAGCGCGGAGCGCGGCGAACTCCGCGCCCTCGAGGGCGCCCTTGGCTTCCCACCGCCGGCTCCTCGTCGCGCCGCCTCACGCGCGCGCAGGCGTTCACGACCATCGCGATGTGCCGGCTGTTCCACCTGGGAGGCCCACGAGGTGGCCGGGGGGGGGGCCCTCCCCCGCCCGCTCCGGCGCGCGCTCCTCCTCCTCCTCCTCCTCCTCCTCCTCCTCCTCCTCCTCCTCCTCCTCCTCCACCTCCTCCCCGTCCTCCCCCCGTCCTCCCCTCGTCCTCCCCCTCCCCCCCCCTCATCCGCCTCCTCCTCCTCCTCCTCCTCCTCCTCCTCCTCCTCCTCCTCCTCACACTCCTCCTCCTCCTCCACCTCCTCCTCCTCCTCCTCCCCCTCCTCCTCCTCCTCCTCCTCCTTTACCCCCTCCCCCTCCTCCTCTCCGCCCCCCGTCGGAGGGGAGGAGAGGGAGAAAGGAGAGCCCCATCCGAATCCCAGGTCTGGCTCGGGAGCGCCCCTTCGACGGCCGAGCCACCCGAGAAAGCCCGGCCCAAGAGAGGAGAGCGAGGGAGGCAAGGGGAGGGGAAGGGCATATGGGGAAACAAGCAGTGAGGAGAGGATGCCGCTCCTCGTTCTGCTCGCCTAATTAGGCGTTGGTCCCCTCATGCTCCTCTTTGTCAAGAAAAGAACAATCGCAATGATACGAATAAGACGAGAATGATTAAGAATAATGATGATAAGACACGTTATGCGAATAATAAACAAATTATGAAGAAGGATAATGAAACACAAATAGTAGAATAACCCCTTGCGGCAGAAGACCCTGAACAGCTTTACACAATTACGATGAAGCCTTGACGTGGGGTGACGATGGGAGGCGAGGATTGGGGGGCACGATGAAGGGATCGGGATAGGGACAGGGGCAAGAAGTGTAAGGATAAGGAGAGAGGGACAGGTGTAGGTCAGAAGGTTTGGATAGGGCTGTAGGGCTAAGGGATATAGGGATATGGATATAGGATTGGGATGAAGGGCTAGGGACTGAGGCAAAGGCGTAGGGCATAGGGATAGAGACGGCAGCGGGAGGCCACGTCGCCAGACCGACTCTGGATCCGGGAGTCCACGAACGGCAGTGGGAGGCCACGGAGGCCACGTCGCCCGAGCGACTCCGCATCCCGGCGGTCGACCCACCAGTCTCGTAGAGAAGCCGCAGGGGCATCACAAGACGGGCTGTCACAGATACAGTTCCAGACAGGCTGTGAGGGGAGCCGCTGCATGCGGAAGCGTAGACCTGGGAGCTCCGCATGGATCTCTCGACTCCGCGCCAGGCTCCCCGTGGCGGCGCCTCCGGCGCCGCCCCTGGCGCGGAGGCGGCGTCAGGGGCGGCGCCAGAGCCGCTGCGCGCCGGAGGGGTCCCAGCGCCGATCTGGGGAGTCCGCGCAGAGCTCCGGCAGCGCATGCCTGCAGTCGTCGCGCCACGCTGGATCGCTTTGCTGGCTACGGCCGTGAACGCTGTCGCTGTGGCTGCAGCTGCCGTGGGCGTCCCTGCCAACGCTGTGGAATTGGCTGCCGTGCCCACGACCACCGCGGCCGACACCACGGCCGGCGAGGCTGGCGACAGCGGCCCAGCGACACTGGCCACGGAGGTCGATGGCGCGGCCGCGGGCGTCGCCGCTGGGGGCGTCGTCGTGGAGCCTGCTCTCACTGGAGCTGTCGCGCTCACGACCATAACAACGGGGCTTTGCTATCTGCGGCGAGCCTCGGCCGCGAACAGGCCCGAAGACCCAGGGGCCCGAATGGGGCCTGAGGTCGCCCTTGCTTCCGCATCCTGGCCGTGTGCGATGCCTTCCTCCTCCTCCTCCTCCTCGTCCTCCTCCTCCTCCTCTTCCTCCTTCTCTTCCTCCTCCTCCTCCTCCTCCTCCTCCTCCTCCTCCTCCTCCTCCTCCTCTTCCTCCTCCTCGTCCTCCTCCTCCTCCTCCTCCTCCTCCTCCTCCTCCTCCTCCTCCTCCTCCTGGGGCGCGATCCCGTGAATACGCGGTCGCACGGATGCGCTCCGCGCGGGGCACCCGCGAAACAGCGCCCCGTGCCCGAGGGCGCCGCGGGCCAGGAGCTCAGCCCGCGAGGCCGCGGATGCGGATGTGCAGGGGGCCAAATGCGAACCCCACCCCTACCCCCCACGAGTTCTGAGGGGGAGGGTGGGGTTCACTCCGCTCGGGAGCTCCCGCACGCAGTGAACCCCACCCTCCCCCTCAGAAATCGTGGGGGGTAGGGGTAGGGTTCGCATGAGGCCCCCTAATGTGCTGCTTTCCCATGGCCATGGCCCACGACAAGTTCTTCGCCCACATCCTACTCTTGTTGTCAGGGCCCACGGCGAGCCGCCTGCCCACGGCGTCGAGCATGGGCGTCCGCAGCGCGTCGAACAGGCGGTGCGCCTCCAGCGATAGCCGCGCGTAGCCGTTCGCCTGCCCCGCGGCCCCCCGGCCTCCTGTGGCGGTGGGGGCGGATTGAACCGCCTCCGACGCCGACCGCGCACCAAGGCGAAGTCAAATAGGGTGAGGATGATTCGAGACTCGACGAGATCTAGCGGCTCCGGAGGATGTCTCGGGCGCCGCGGCCTCCTCGGAGCGTCCCGGAACGCTCTGAGGAGAGTTTCAGCACGCTCTGGAACGGAGGCATCCTCGTCGTGGCCCCGTCCTAGAGATCGCTTTTCGCTCTTCGGCTATGGCTGGGGCTATCCGGGATTGGGGGAGGGGACGGCCGGTGGCCCGACCCGTGCTCTCAGCAGGGCAGCCCCACGCATGCCCGCACGCACCAGTACTTGTGCCCCCGTCGGACCTGCCCAAGCGACGCGGCCAGGGCATCCGGGGGGGGGGGCGGGGCGGGCAGGCCCGATGGCCCTCACAAAAAAAACAGTCGCGCGTGCCAGCGCTGAGAAGGCGTCGGGCGCGCGCTCCTGCCACGGGCCAGAGGTCCACGGGTCCGACGCGCCGGCGCCGGGCTCACGGCATCGGTCCCGAAGCACGAGACCTCTGGCCTCGACGGCGGAGCGCGCGCCGAGGCTCCGTGGGGCAGCGGGGCCCGTCGCTCTGAGCCACGCGCCTTGTCGGCCCTGCAGTCGTCGGCCTCCTCCCGCTCCTCGTCGTCGTCCTCATCCCCTTGCACGGGCGGCGTCATCCCGATCCTTCCTCTCTTCGCCTGCCTCGTAGTCCTCACCCCTCTTTCGCCCCCCCAAGATGGGCCACAGTCGCGATGTCGATCTCGTTGAGTTCGCCGATGCGGTCGATCAGGCCCGTCTCCAGCGCCTGCCGGCCGCCTCCTGCTGCGCATGTCCCTGATCCGCTTGCTGCTGATGCTGGTGCTGATGCTGCTGCTGCTGCTGCTGCTGCTCTTCTAACGGCGCCCATGGACACACAAATCCACCGACACCCGCCCGTCGGGGGTGCAAAGGCGTGTGAGATGATTGGCGATCCCCCTCCCCCGCTTCCCCTCCCCTGGTGTCTGAAATCCAATGAGAGGGGGGGGGGGCCGGGAGGCTGGCCCGAGGTGGGGCGGGGTGAGTTCGAGCTCCTGAACGTATCCCCTGCGCCTTCAGCAGCCTCCAGAGCGCCACGACGGCCCAAGAATGGGTCACGACAGTCCACATAAGCGTCGCGATAGCTGAAGATAGCCCCACGACGGTCGCAAATGGCTCCGAGACGGCCCTCGTGCCCCCCCACGACAGCCCACAGGTGCTCCCAGAGGACCGCCGAGAGAGCCCCAAGAGGCAAACATCGTCCCATCCCCCTTGGGAAAATGCGTAGTCCTAGCATGCTCGTACTTTGTTCATCTTGACGGCGTCCGAGACGGCCCAAGGGGCCCCCAAGATCGTCCCAAGACGGCCCAAGAGGACCCCAATAGGGCCCCAAGGGGGCCCCGGGGGCCCCTAAGACGGCCCAGCAGGGCCCCAAGAGGGGCCCAAGAAGAGCAATACAAACTGACACCTCGAGTCTTTCCCGCCGTGATCGCCCCAAGAGCCCACTAGTGACCCCCGGAGCGCCCCCAAGAGGCCTCCACGAGGCACCCCAGATGTACCCAAGAGGCCCCGACAGGCCCCCCAAAGCCAACCAGATGCTCCCATGAGCCCTCCAAAATGGACCTGAGAGGCATTCCAGGAGACCCTCACATGCACCCCCAGGGCTCTTGACCCACAAGCCAGGCATGGTGGCAAACCGCTTGACGAAATCACTGTGATGGGGGTCGGCAGAAAGACGTGAGCCTCTTGGATATAATCCGCCGACCCTGTCGGCGTGTGTGAGGGGCTTCTCCGTTCGACTCGTCGTCTTCGTCGTCTGTTCTCCCCCTCCCAGGGCTCTCCTCCTCAAGCGCGCTATCCAAAGCGAAATTAAACGACGTCGTAGTGGAGTCGAAGGGAAGCCCCTTCCCTTTGATCCCTTCCCCGCAGGGGGGGGGGGGGAGGGGGCCCAGGGCAGATACGACGCCCGCCGGGGCGCACTTTCCTCGAGCGGGCACGCACGGGATGCTCCTCCTCCTCCTTCCTCCTCCTCCTCCTCCTCCTCCTCCTCCTCCTCCTCCTCCTCCTCCTGCTCCTCTCCTCCTTCTCCTCCTCCTCCTCCTCCTCCTCCTCCTCCTCCCGCAGAGGCGTCCCGGGAGCGGGCCCCGAGTCAAAATACCACCCCCCTAGGGCGCATTTTCCTCGAGCGGGCACGCCCGAGATGCACTTCTTCCTCTTCCGGGAGCACGTCCCAAGTCAGAATATCACACTCCCGGGGCGCACTTTCTTCGAGCGGGCACACAAAGGATGCACTTCCTCCTCCTCCTCCTCCTCCTCTCCTCCTCCCCCTCCTTCTTCTCCTCCTCCTCCTCCTCCTCCTCCTGCTGCTCCTCCCGCTTCTCCTCCCCCGCCTCCTCCTCCTCCTCCTCCGCCTCCTCCTCCTCCTCCTCCGCTTCCTCCCCCCACTCCTAGCCCTTTCGATCAGGGTCGGCGGCAACTGCCGTCAGGCCTCTTCAATAAACCACAAATTCCGACAAAATTCAGGAATCCCCATGTTTGCATATTTTCTGGATTTCCGTCTTCCCCTCCATTTCCAATATTATCAAACCTTTTCATTGAAATAACCGTTTATTTGTGTCTGTGTCGATTTGTCCTTTCGGATCCTCTCCTACTCATATTGCACCTGCTCACACTCTTCCTGCTGCTCTTGGTCCTCGTCGAAATGACTGCTCTCTTCTGCTCACGCCGCGACGTCCTCATCGAGGGAATCGCCATCAACAGAAAGCAGCACTTACTATCGCCTAACTAACATCTCAGTGCATCTCAACAACACTCGATCTCACTTGTCGGATGCACTTTCCAGGCATTTCCGATGCTCCTGAAGTTTTACGCAATCCATTAAGCTAGCTGCAACCAAAGGAGCGTCTTCGGATTCATACCCGTCGAAGGATGAGCCAAGCAGGGGAACCCGCCTCCACACTCTCGAACACTCCTGTGCGCTGAGCCTCTTGCCGAGACGTCTCTGCCGATGCCGCTCGAGCCTATCTGGGGGCCCGGAAACCGTGCGGCGACCTCGCACTCTCCCACGACCTCACCGCCCGGCCCGCCTCCGCACGCCCTGGGGGGCCCTGGAGGCCCCCATCGACCGAGACGTCCCCGGAGCACGACCCGAGCCGCAGCACCGCGTGCGGCCACCCCGAACCCCTCCCATGACTCGCCGCACGGTGTGGCCACCGCACGCTTCTGGGAGCCCCCCGCACCGGCGGCGCCCTTGGCGCTCTCCGGGCCACGCCTCCCCGGCCTCCCGCGGCCGCTCCGGGGGGCGATCCGGTGCGCTCCCGGCGAGGCGCGGCTGCTGGAGCGCAGCCCTTCCTCCCTCTTCCTCCTCCACCGCCACCACCTCCACCTCCACCTCCACCTCCTCCCACTCGATTCCTCGTGGGCTGTACCCCAAGAGAGGGTGAGGGCCTCAGGGGCTCAGGCCGACTGCTAAGCCAGTGGTTGGCTGGGTCCCCTTCTCTCCTCAGCGCAGCAGGGGTCCGTGCTTGGACTCTTGCTCGACGTCATTCCCATTCCCACTCGATTCCGCGACTCCTCCTCCCCGATCCCTCCCGCGCCCCCCGGGCGGCCCCCACCACCACCACCACCTCCACCTCCACCTCCACCACCACCTCCACCACCTCCCCCCCCCCCACCACCACCACCACCACCTCCACCTCCTCCTCCTCCACCTCCTCCACCACCACCACCTCCACCTCCTCCTCCACCTCCTCCCACTCGATTCCTCGGCTCCTCCTCCCCGATCCCTCCTGCGCCCCCTGGGCGGCCCCAGCCTGGGCGGCCGCTGGAGGGTGCCCCCCCCCCCCCCCCCCTGCCCCCGAGGTGCCCCCGGCTGCGGCGGCGAGCGCTCCGCCCGTGCGGCCGCTCGCGCCGCCCTCCTGCCTGGGCCCCCCCCCTCGCCCTCCCTCCTCCTCGCCCTCCTCCTCCTCCTCCTCCTCCTCCTCCTCCTCCTCCCTCCTCCTCCTCCTCCTCCTCCTCCTCCTCCACCTCCCTCCCTCCTCCTCCCTCCCTCCCCCCCTCCTCCTCCTCCTCCTCCTCCTCCTCCTCCTCCTCCTCCTCCTCCTCCTCCTCCGACCCGAGCGTTGGCTGGCGCCCGGCGAAGAAGGCGCGAGGGGGGAGCTGGGGCGGAGAGGAGGGCGGGCGCGCCAGCGTGCCGGCACTGCCCTGCAGGTTGGAGGCAGGGGGGGGGCACGTGGGGCGTCCACTCAACGCGACTAGAGGCCTCTCGCATGGGGCTCGAGTAGCTGGGGATGGAAGATCGCGCTGCATCGCCGATGCACAAGCATAAGCTGTTGGAGTTCGAAGAGCTCCAACAATCTATGCTTGTACAGTCTCTCCTTGTTCGTCTTGGGGCAAGGCGTTGAGGCCGCGACCTCAAAAACTCTGATGCGTGGGCAGACTCACGAACACCAGGCTAGCACCAGGACCGTGCTTCGGGGGCACCTCCTGGAAGTCTCCCATGCCATCTTGCTGGCTCTTGCGAATCCACGCTTGCCGACGCTAACCGATGCTAATCGACGCTCGTCGACGCTGATGGACGCTACACCGACGCTACATCGACGCTAAATCGCCGCTGAATCGGCGCCTTCCCGTCGACGACCAGAGGCTAGCGCACGTTCATGCACCCGCGGGACAGACTTACACGAGGCTCCCTTAATCTGAATCAGCACTCCCTCAGCCGCTACACCCGAGCGAGGGAAAGAGAGCTGGTCTCACGCTACACTGAGGTCGGGCATGTGCCCCTACAGGCGAAGTGTGGACGAAAAATGAGAAATAGTCAAAAACTACTCCCCCAGATTGTCCAAAATGGTGCAAAAGTGGTCCCCGGGCTAGTTCTTTTGACTATTCTTGAATATTCCTCCTGTAGAGGGTCATGCCCAACTTAACGCTACACCTGAGCGAGGAAAAAAGAACTGGTCTCACGCGAGACAATCGCGACCTCACGCGGCGGCTCACGCGGGCCGCCCGCGTGGCGCACCGCGTGGAGAAGAGGGCGCCGGCGGGACCTCGCGCGGAAGCCTTCGCGCCGGTGCCCGCGCCATCGAGACCGTGCTTCTGCGAGCTCACCTGGCGGCCAACTCCCTGCGGATTGGCAGCGCGGGTGCTGAAAAACGGAGGCGGGTGTCCCCGCCCCCTCACCCTGCTTCCTCCAAGTACCCCGACAGCTCACGGCACGGATGTGCGGCCTCCATGAGCGGCGCGTTGTTCTCGCGCACCTTGGAGAAGCCGTTCACCAGCATCGCCATGTTCCGGCCATCAAGCTCCCTCCGGTCCCTCTTTCAACGCATGCTCGTGACAATCGAGGAAGCGAAGCAACAGAAACATAAACTTCTGGAGGTCAGCACGGATCTCTTGGATCGGCGCTAGACCCCATCCTGGGCGCGCGGAGCGCGCCAGAGTCGCGCCAGAAGCGCTGCCGGGGGGGGGGCCGGGCGCCGATCCGAGAAATTCGCACGGAGCGCCGTAGTCAGGTGGCCAGGCATGGGAGCTTCATTTTAACTCCAAATGTTAGTTTTAGTGCGGTTTAGTGGCCGTCAGCGCTTGAAAGTTGGACCCGCGTGCTTGGCTCGTACTCCTGAGAAGCGCCAGCGCGACCTTGGGCATAGGTTGAGCGCGCCCGTTGTGTTACTAGGGGGTGATCGGGTTTTGAGCTGATTTCATTTCCCTTTAATTCCCTTCCCCGTAATTCTTCCCTTCCCGTTAATTATTCCCGTGCATTGTCTCGTATTCCCTTGAATTGTCTTGTCTTCCCGTTCATTGTCTTGTCTTCCCGTTAATTGTCTTGTCACGTAATCCCGTTAATTGTCTTGTATTCCCGTTAATTCTCTTGTATCCCCTTATGTATTACTTTTCGACTCCAAGTCCCCAGTGGGTGCGTTCGCATACAGGAGGAGACGGAGGAGGAGGAGGAGGAGGAGGAGGAGGAGGAGGAGGAGGAGGAGGAGGAGGAGAGATATCGTCGATAAACCTGTCAAGCTCGGTCTCGAGGGACTCGTCAGCCTGGCGCCCGAGGGGGGCGGGGCCTGGATCCTCCTCGGGCCTCAGGCGGCCGTCCGGGCCGACTGCGGCGCCTCTGGAAGGCTCTCGGCGAGGCGCAACTGCAGGAGAGCAACCCGAGCTCCCCCGTCCCCTCGCCCCACATGACTAGCACTGCTGGGGAGTGCCGTCCTAGGGTTCGGGGATTACCGTCCAAAGTTAACGGACCTCCCGGGGACCTCCTGGGGCCCCACCTCCCGGGAACTCTTCCCGATACTTTCCCGATAGTTACACTGATTCAAATTATCCCAGTGCGACCCTACCTAGCAGTTGGAGCATTTAGGAAAGCAACATCTACATCTACACCGACAACTACATGTACATATGCTGTGTGATGCTAGGCTATACCATGCTATGCTATGCTATGCTATGCTGCGCTATGCTATGCTATGTTATTCTATGTTATGCTGCGCTATGCTATGATATGATATGATATGATATGCTATGATATGCTATGATATGCTGCGCTATGCTATGCTGTGCTATGCTATGCTATGATATGATTTGCTGCGCTATGCTGCGCTATGCTATGCTATGCTATGCTATGCTATGCTGTGCCATGCTATGATATGATGCGCTGTGCTATGCTAAGCAATGCTATGCTATGCTGCGCTATGCAATGTTCTGCTGTGCTATGCTGCGCTATGTTATGCTGAGCTATGCTATGCGATGGTATGCTATGTTTGGCTATGCTATGATATGATGTGCTAATGCTGCGCTGCGCTATGCTGCGCTGCGCTTAGCTAAGCTAAGGTGAGCTAAGCTATGCTAAGCTGAGCTAAGCTAAGCTAGGCTAGGCTAGGCTAAGCTAGGCTAAGCTAAGCCAAGCTAAGAAAAGCTAAGCTAAGCTAATATGCGATAAGCAAAGCTAAGCTAAACTAAGCTAAGCTAGGCGAGGCAAAGCTAAGCTAAGCTAAGCTAAGCTAAAATGAGATACGCTAAGCTAAGCTGAGCTAAGCTAAACTAAGGTAAGCTAAGCTAAGCTAAGCTAGGGGAACCCAAGGGGCGCAACTGGGGGAACCGCGGGGCGGGGACTGGGGGAACCGCCCGGGGCGTTTTACACTGCCCGGCCCCTTTAAGCAAACAAAGTTAGGCAGAGCCTAGGTAGGGAATAAACCTGAGCTAAGATGAAGTTACGCTAAGCTAAGGTGAAATAAGCTAAGCTAAGATGAGATAAGCAACGCTAAGCTAAGGGAACGTCACTGGGGGAACCGCGGGGCGGATCCTGGGGGAACCGCCCTGGGCGTGGAACACTGCCCAGTTAAGCCAACACGGTAAGAACCCTTCTAGGCAGAGCCTAGGTAGGGAACAATCACAACGAATTACCGGGAAGGCCCCCACCTCCCGGGGCCCCACCTCCCGGGAAACTTTTCCCTGTAATGCCTGGACGGTAATTCCCGTTCACTCGGGACCTCCTCCTCCTCCTCCTCCTCCTCCTCCTCCTCCTCCTCCTCTTCCTCCACCTCTTCCGGGCCCTCTCCTCGGGACCCTCGAGACCCCGAGGGCCCGACGAGGCCCCCTGGTGAGGGCCCTCCTCAGCAGCTGGAGCAAGCGAGAGCTTCGAATGCCGAGCCCGTGCCTCCTCCCGTGCCTCCTCCCGTGCCTCCTCCCGTGGCTCCCCAGGGCTCCTGTAGGCCTTTGAGGTCTACGGGTGTGGTTTCCCTGTAGCCCACCCCCTTCTACGTGTAATATAGGAATGTCGGCTAACCATGTAAGACCGAATATGACTGACGCCCATAATCATTAGTTGGGGCAGGCGGGAATTATAGGGAATCGATAAGGAATTATAAGGAAATTAAAAAGGAATTATTGGAACTAGGGAAATATAGGGAAATTATAGGGAAGCTCAAACAGGGAATTATCGGTAACTCCAAACCCGATCCCCCCTCTTGTAACACAACGGGCGCGCTCAAGGCATAGGTCTGGCATGCGGTCCGCTTCTTGCACATCCCCTCACTACCCCTTCCATTACCACTGTCTCTCACTGGTTGTTTCGGCGCGATGGGCGCGCAGCGTTATCTCATCGGTGCGCGCCTCTCTCTGCGGCGGGTGCCAGCCCTGTCCTCCTCTCCCTGTCTCTCTCTCTCTCTCCCTCTCTCTCTCTCTCTCGCTCTCTCTCTCTCTCTCTCTCGTTCTCTCTCTCCTTTTTCCGTTGTCCTCGTGGCAGCGCGTCAGTGCGCGCGCACTGCATCGGAGTTGCGCCCGCAAATGGCTTGGACATAAATCCCCCCCTCGTCTCCCCCCTCTGGAAATCAGAGATATCTGATCATCACGGCGAGGGGGATGAGAAGGAGGAGGGGGGGAAACGGATGAGGAGGAGCAGGAAGAGGAGGAGGAGGAGGAGAAGGAAGAGAAGGAGGAGGACGAGGAGGAGGGGGGGTCGAGCTCGCGGGCTTCATTTTTTCCCTCGCTCATTTGGATTATGGTGTCCGCGGCGCCCCCTGGCATCCTCGCGTCGCTCTTTCGATGCTCAGAGGAAAAAGAGGCACCCATGCCGCTGCCTCTCGCCCGTTATCCCCTTTCCCGGTCTCATGCGGGGCCCTCGTCGTCAAAACGCGCCCCGGGAGAGGTCCGGGGAGCAGCGGCGTTGGTACTTTTTGGTATCCCTGATTGCGTTCGCGCGGAACGTCAAAAGTGCACGGCGCGAGCGCAGAGCGCATCGCGCGTGCAGAGCATCGGCGATCCGCGCACCCTGGCGGGGCCCGAAGATCCGACGCTGGCCCCGATCAGCCCAAAGTTCTTGCCAACTGGTATGTTTGTATTTCGGATCTTCTCTTTTCGACCTCCGACGGCTCGATATGTTCGACCGTCGGCTTTCCTGCGGGCCAGGTCCCCTCTTCGAGCGAGCGAGCCCTGTTTCGACGGTCCCTGGGCCCGAAAACTGCCTCCAACGGCCCAGAACGCATGCTAATTTTGGAGCAGATGTGTTCACGTCCCCGGGTTTTTGGGAAAAAGGGTTCCGCGATCCATGTCGGCATTCGCCGGGGGCTCCATCGCCCTTCACTCGGGGAGGGGGGGGGGCGGGGGGGCGGGGAGGGCGGCGAGGGGAAGGGAAAGGGATCAAAACGTCTGACGGCGTTCGGCGTTATCTATGCTGCCGACGGCAAGTTCCGCCCTGCGTATTTGCTCGCCTACACGGGGGGCGGAAGAGAGGGGGGCAGCGATGGGACGCCACCTAAACGGGGCCCTGCGTCCCCCTGTTCGGGAGGGAGGGGCGGGGAAGAAGAGGGAAGGCGAGGGAAGGGGAGGGGCGACTCGCGGGCCTTCGGTCGGTCGGCGAGCCGAGGGGCTCGAGTGGCCACCTGCCGTGGTCTTGCGAGTGGCAACCTGCCGTGGTCTTGCGCCGCGTTTGTCGCCGCAGCGCGCGCGCGCAAACATGTCGAGCAGCTGGGCGCCGATGCTCGCGAGGATAAGTCGGCCCCCCCCCTCCCCCCCTGCCCCTCCCCCCTCGTTTTCTTCGTCGCCCTCCGCCAGGGATGGCGGAGATCGCCCGCTCGCGCTGCCGGCGCGTAGCCATCTCGCCCTGGCCCTGCCGCCCGAGCTCCACACGGCCATGGCGGGCCGCTCTCGCGCCCCCCGCCGGCGCAGAGGGCGCGCGGCCAGATGGCAACTTGGCCGACGAGTGCGCGGCGCGGGATCCGCCAGCGCAGGAGAGACCGCAAGCGCTCCCAGGCGACGAAGATTCGTGGGCCGATGTGGGGGCGCAGAGGGCGGGGGCGCCGCGCAGGTTGCGCTCCGTTCATCGGTGCGCCGCGCGCTGGCCCGCCCATGTCATGGGCCATCGACGACGTCGCGGCCCGCCATGCTGCGCCGCTGGCGCGGCGGCGGGCAATGCCAAGAGTTCGCGCCTCCCGCGGTCGGAGAGAGGCACCGCCTTCCAGGGCGGGCAAGGGGGCTTCAAAACGCTGCGTGCCCAGGCGTTCCGGCTGCATCGACAGCGAAGCGCAGCGACTCGCCCGAGGTGCCCGTGTATCCCTTGTTTTCTGGCTTCGCCCATCATCTGCCACATGCCCCACATTTGGTGACCCGATCAGGGCCTTGCATCATTTTCTGTCGGCCCCTCCTGTCGCGTGAAACTGTTTACCAAAAAAGTGTCCCGCGGCGCCCGCGACCCTCCGGGGCCCGCGCAGACGTTTCTCGCCCTGCGGGCCTGAACGTTGTGTCCTCCTCCTCCTCCTCCTCCTCCTCCTCCTCCTCCTCCTCCTCCTCCTCGGGCCACCGAACGCGAC